GACAAATAATAAAATACAGTCAGTTTGGCTTCCAGCAAAGCATTCAGAGGGTTAGAGTGTAGTTCAGGATGTTTTCTGTACACTTCAGTGGACGTTTTATTCACCAGAGTAACTTGTGAGATGTTGAAAACAGCAGCAGTGGAAAAAAACGCAAAGATCGTAAAAGAGGAAACGACAGTTCAGCAGTTGATCTACTTTATTTTTGAGGTTTCTAAACAGCACTTTTCCTTTCTGGCCTTTTCAAGCTTCTTTTCAGTAAGATGTTAAAAATATTAGTGTTAAGAATAATAAGGATATAATTTCGTGGGTTTGGAAGCATCGAATTTGAGTGATTAGTTGATGAATTGTGCCTGAAATATTTTCGTTATTCAGCCTCTGACGTGAGAATTTTCATTATCGCTAATCAGAAATGTCACGTTTTTGTTCGTTATTGTGAATTTCAGATAAAAAAATTATCAGCGCAAATTAATCGATGAGTATCGCTGATGTTTTTGCAGGTTGCAGCGCCCCCTGGTGGTCAAATGATGCAGTTTGTTTATTTATGTATTTATTTATTTGACAACCTCGAGAAGGAACGCTGAGCCGACTTCGGCGCCGATGCATGAAATGTGAGACGTTCTCGTTTGGCGGCTTCGTGACCAGTTCTGATTGGCTGGAACGAGCACACGGATGATAAAATCTGACGTCCACCTCGTCGCTGTCGTGAGGCCTCGTCCGATGATCGTTTGTGCCAATTTTGGTGAAGATCGGGGGAAGAATTGAGCCACTTTGAAAAGTCTTTGGAGCTCCAACAGAAGAAGACTTGGTTCACAATCCAGTGAGTGGAACCAGCAGCTCTCCGGTCGGCGCTTCTGTTCGCAGCATGTTTTCTGCTCCGTCAGTTGAAGCAGCTGTGAGCAGCTCAGGACGTGATTCTGGCATCGGGTCACGCCGAGTCCACAGCTCCAGAGACCGCCGGACCGGACTGATGGATGGCTCGGGTTTTATTTCAGTCTCTCTAGAGTTTGGATTTGCTCTGAGGAAAGCCTCGCGTTACGCCCTGAGCGTGGCTCGCTGAGGTCCAGCAGCAGCGAACACGACGGTACCGCTGCATTAACCCTCTGCTCACAAAACGTCCAAAAGTGAACAAACTCACTGTAAAAGCAGACTTTTATTTTGAAAAGCAGAATCCCAACGTTGTAGCCGTGAGTCTTCTGAGCCGTCCACGTTAGCGTGTTAGCATTAGCTGGAATCAGTTCAGAGGGTTTAACCATAAAAACCAAAACAAAGAAACTTGCTCCAGAAATTAACAGAAGTTCAACTCAATCGAAACAACAGATTAAAGTTTTGCTGCATGTGGAAGAACAAAGATGACGAACTTTACCGTGAGGACTCTCAAACATTAAAAACGTGACAAAACATGAATATATTTATGTGTCCTGCGGGAAGCTTTGGCTACAGGTCGTGGTTTTCACACTCGGCCGGGTTCTTGTGGTTCTGGAGGACGGTGAGCAGGACGGTGAGGAGGAGCTCGACTCTCCTCTCCGGTTGATTCTGGTCAGCGAGTCTGGAGCTCGTGTGTGCGGCCACTCGCCCTCCGTGTCACTTCCTGTTTCCTCCTCGCCGGTCGGACGAAGCGCTCGGCGACTCGTCTCCGTGTCCGAGTCCATTTTCGTCACCGCCGCCATCGATTTAGTCTGAGTTAACGAGGCGAGGGCTGTTACCGCTTCCACCGCCGCCGTCTGAAAAAAAACTGTTTTTTCTGCATTTTTGTTTGAAACACAATCATGTCTCCACGGATTAATTAGATAATCATCGTCAGAACGTTTCTGTTCCACGAGTCTAACGATGTAACCAGGAAGTGAGACGATTAACTTGAATCTTTCTGACCTAAAGCCGCCCAAAGAGGATCAGTGAGGCTAACGAGAACATTCTGCTTTTCAAAATAAAAGAAGCGCAGCCAGTTTCTGGAGTCGGTTTCTTCATTATTTGCCATTTTTATTTCTTCCTGTCTCATTTGTCTTCGCTGTGGCTGCGATATGAAACCCTGCAGCTCTGAGGGAGCAGAATGACGGACATGTTGACTCCACACACCAGAGATAATTAAACCGTTTGCATTTTGAATTTGCTCTGTGTGAACACGTCCTGCAGCTCAGCCGAGTGGTTCGTCACAGATCTTTTTTTTGTGCATTTCTGCTCCTGCAAACATTTTATTTTTGAGGGATTGTAGTAGAATTCTACGATTTTGATGAAATATCACGATTGTAAGTTTGCGTTTTGTTACAAAATGGTGCAAATTTGGTGCAATTTCAGATGAAAAAACAAAAACAAAGACGTCGTTTTAAAACTGCTGCTGAGTTGTTCGGGTCAGAGACGGTTTTTTGTTGTATTCGTTGTTTTTATTTCTTATTTTGGGGCAAGATTGAAGAACTTCCGGATCGGCGTGATGATACGAACACGATTTACTGTGTTTGCCTTTAAGCTGAGCAGTTCTTTTCCTCGTTGCCTGCATGAGGAGTGTGTCGGAGCTTCCACAGCGTTGGAATGTGTGCGTTAGATCCGGGAGGTTGTTTTTCATACGTTGCTGTAAATATTTGCGAGCCGACGGATCACGTTTCCAGGTGGAGTGAAAGCAGGCCTGCTGCTGCTGCTGCTGCTGCTGCTCTACTACTGATTTTTAATGATGTAGCACTTGAATATTAAAACCATTAGCGGAGAGAGAAATTGAGATGTGATTCATTACTCCGCTCTGGCTGAGTTCACTCCTCTCCTCGCTCTTCCTCGTCATTATACTCGCTCCATCCATTCTCTCCTCTTTCTTTCTTCTCTCCGTCTCTTTTTTCTTTTTCCATAATTGTTTTTCATCATCATTTGTCTTTTTTTTTTTTTCTTTCCCCTTCCTGCGTCGTCAAATGTTCCTTTTATTTTTCCGTCTGTATCCTCTATTTGTCTCCTAAATGACAGAGGATGACTCAGGCTTCATGGGGTTTTTATTGTGCTCCACTGTGCTGGTGTGTAGGAGGTACAGTGCTAATAGTCGCTCTCTCCCTGACAGACTAATGACTAGTTTGTGCTTCTGTCTGTCTCTTTCCATCTACGTCCTGCTCTTGGAAATAATTAGCTCGCTCGCCCCCCTTCTCCAAAGATTGCATCTATTATCGCAGATTCTCTCAAAACTCTCGTCCCCGTTTTCTCTTCCTTTTGTCGTCGCCGGCATCCTGCTCGTGTCCACCGCCCTGTCGTCGTCGTCTTTTCTTTTTTTTTAATCTTGTGGGGAAAAGCAGCGTTTTAATGTGGCGATAACGGATTTGTTCTGGTTTTTTTTCTTCTTCTTTGTTCCATTTGCTGCCGTCGTGGACTCGGGGCGCTCCTCGACTCGACTAAATGAAACCGTCTCTGCTGTCGAATGAAGCCGTCGGTTTACACTCGATCTGTCGGCTCGACGCGTCACATCAGCGTCCGCTTTTAATGCCGCTCTGGAAGATAAATAGTTCCTTTTAACGCTGGCGCTCGCTCCTTTGTAGTCGCTGATGTTTGGTTTAAACGTACGTTCGGCTGAGAACACGACCAGAGAGGAACCGTTAACTCCATCTATGTGCATGAACAACTCTGTGAAAGTGCACCACTCGCAGCACATTCACAAATGTTTATTCAGTCGGTCGTAAACGCCTGCAAAAGTTAATCATTATGAAGCTGCTTTAGATAAAAACTGGCCTCTTTCAGCTACAGGACGTCCTGTTGTTCTGCCTTTCTCTTTAAAACACTCCAAACATGTTCTGTTGGATTCTAGTCTGTCCACGTACCTGCTCAGGTCGAACTGTTCACTTTGCTTTTTGGAAACTCTGGGAATCGTCCTATCAGCCAGTATATGTGACTTATTCACAATAAATCAACTTTTACACTCATGCAGCTCCACATCATGATGCTGCCACCGCCGTGCTTCACTGTCAGGACCATACGTCCACTGTGGTGGTCCCGGTCAGGTTCACACCAAACATACTGCCATCTTTGCAGTCATTTTTCATCTCATCTTTTACCTCTTTGGGGTCACTTTGCATATTTTGGGGGGATTTGTGTGTCTCTCTGTGTTGTTTTTTCATCTCTTGGTGGTGGATTTGCATCTTTTTGTGGTCATTGTAGATGGTAGATTGTGTGGTTGTTTTCCCCCCAACACCTTCTGCCCTCATGCAGCACTGTGGTGGTCCTGGTCAGGTTCACACCAAACATCTGGACTCCTTCTGAGCCCAACACACGTTTCTTCATCTGAACAAAGCATCCCAACGTTCATCAGGCTTATTTTAATCAAATTTAAGTGTTGCAGACGAGCGAGCAGCGGCGGTTTTCCTGGACGCTGTCCGTCGAGCCCCGTCTGGTTCTAACAGTGTGATTGTACAAATAGCACCCGGTTCATGTTTTAGGAGGAAACCGCCGCAGCCCTGATTAGTGCTACGAAGGCTCCCACTAAACCTCCTGATTGCTGCTAAAACTGTGCTGTGATCTTCAGTTTCTTCAGTCACAGGTGTCTTGACATTTGTTGCCTTGAGTTTCTACTTTGGGGCCTGAATTTTCAAATAAGTCTGTCTGAAATCCATTACCTCCATTGTTCTTAAGTAGAAACTAAACTTCGATTGTTGAGCTTATAAATAATCCAGTTACTGTAAAGTGATGGTGTTTAGAGTCATTTGGCTTTTACTGGGTGTACTGGGTGTACTGGTATCTGTTGGGTGCTCTACACCTGTCATCATTCTTTAGGTTTTCATTTGGTATATTAAATAAACACATCCGTTAAGTTTCTTGAGGACACGTCGTCGTTGATTAACGTTCAAACAGAAGATGTGAAGTCGTATTTCTTCATCTTGTGTATTTGTTGGAGAAATACCGGATACGTGATGAGTATAAATTCAATCTGTGTTCCAGGGATGGAGGGATTTAGCCTAGCTTAGCATAAGGAAGGAACCAGCATTCATCGTTTACACGCCGCGTCGTCAGCGTGAAAATCAACGCATGACTTTGTGTTTCAGACGACCTGGCGTACGAGGTGAACTGGTTCTTCACTCGGCTTCGCGGCGGACAGACGACGACTCAGGTGGCCTCCGTCGACCGCTTCGGCGTCGTCAGGAAAGTGGACCGCAACTCCTCCAGCGACATCTCGATCGAGCGCAAAGACACGCACACCTACCTGCTGAACATCTTCGGCACTCAGGACAGGTGAGCGTTCGCTAACCAACTGCAAACATTTGAACCCCTTTTGACCGTCAGATTCACAGCCGGCGTGTTTTGGTTCGCAGCGACAGCGGCGAGTATCACTGCATCGCGACCCCGTGGTACCTGTCGGCCTCGACGGGAGCCTGGACCGAAGCCGGAGAGCTGATGTCGTCACGAATCTTCCTCACCGTCAAGTTTGCAGGTAGGAAGTAAAAAAAAAAAAAGTTTGTTGGAATGAATCTGTCGCATTTGTGTTTAGTGAGGCCAAAAAAATCAGAAATTATTGTGCAGATATTGAAAAGTGCAGCATTCCTGATGAAGAATCACGTCAGGATTTTAGTTTTCCACCTTTATATGAACACGACCATGAATCACTGAGGAGACGTCGGTAAATTCTGTCGATACTGGTTCTGACGTTTAACGACCCGGTTTTATGGTACATAACGGGTTCACGGGTTTTGCAGTCACCTCCTGCACAAGTTTCTTTCACTGTGCACAACTTCTATGGAGGAAATGAAGGAGCCTGCTGCAGAGAAACTCTTTCATTTCACTTGACTCACAACTTCCCAGAATGCTTGAACAGCCGACGTTTGTTCACCTGTTCATTAGTCTGACTCAGGATCAGTCCTCAAGTCCAGAGAAACACGTCTGCCCACAGGAGTGGACACTCTGAGTTCCTGTCTTTGTCAGTCTGTGGGCTTTTACCGTGCATGGATTAGATGTTTTTCCTCTCTGACCACATCTCTTTGTTTCTTCCTGCAGTGTGGGATTCCCTGAAGTTGCCTCTCTTGTACGGAGCAGCGGCCTCACTGGGTAACGTAGCTGAAACACACGCTGGATCTTTATTTTGCATCCAGATTTTACTGCAGTTCATGTCACCTTCGAGATGTTTAATGTCCCCTGAATATTTAACTTTGATTCATGACAAGTTGCGGCAAAAACGAACCGTCTGGACGCCAGTTTCTGGACGTTTCTTCTGTTCCTGTGTCATTTTTAACAGCAAAGCAAAGTCCTGGAAACAGAACAGCCGTGTTAGACGTAGGAGAAGCACTTCAGTGCAGTACGATAAACTTACAATACCATAAATCATTCCTGTGCTATATTTTGCGATTTGCATCTGCTCTGTGGAAGCACAGCCTGCAGTTCAGCCCACAAGTGTCTGAGCTGTTGTCACGAGACTGTCGGTCGCTGCTGAGTCTCTGTGATGTGACGGCCGTGACAAAGAGTGCAGAATTTTGTATTTCTTATAGAATCCTGTTTGTGTAATCTGTTTATTTTCTGCACGTTTTTAAATGACTCACGTAGAATAAATTGATAAAGCTTCAGATTTAGCAGCAGAGCGATGAACGACGTTCAAGTTGGACCGAAGAACGGAACATTTTTTGCTTTTTCCAGAATCTAACTCGAGCAAACCGTTGACTATTAGTGATTGTTTTTTAATGAAGCGTGTAATAAAGTAGATTTTTGGCTTCAGTTTCTGATGAGTAGTTCAAAGACTGTCGGAAATCCAAAGATTCTTTCTGTGTTTACGGCTTGTAGCTTTGATAAACTGCAGTTTTTGCCATTTTTTTGTTATGTTTTTAAAGCGAACGCCTTTCAAACCCGCCGGCAGACTGAATAAAACAAACGTTTCTCAAACCCGATTCTGTCCATAAACGCTGAGAATCCACCGACGAGTCCGGTTCCTGTGAGCAGCTCTGACTCTCCATCACACCTCGTCCTCCAGAGGTTGCCGCTTTGTAAACAACAACAACATCTGGTTTGCTGCCGCCGACAAACGACCGCAGTCGGTTTGTGGAAGCGAAGTGAAGAGTGGAGGCAGCGAGGCCGGCGTTTACATGCAGCCGACGGCAGCAGAAAGCTGCTTCAGAGTGTGAAAAGCTGATGCTCGCTGTCAGCGTGGACGTCCTGCTGGCAGATACGCTGCAGTCGATGTTTTTATTCCAGCGTTGGTGATTATTTAGGACGCGTGTCGGTAACGGTGAAGTCAAGAAGACAGGATTCTACGTTTGGTCAAGCTGATCTAAAACAAACATTTTAATCATTAAAAGAGCTGCAGAAGGAGTGAACAGACTTTTTTTTTTCGGATGCAAAAGCAGCTAAACTTTAGAAGAACTTCAGCTGAAGTAGATTTGCAGTTTTGTGTGGAGCAGTGAGAGCGCCGGATGACAAAAATAAATCAGTAAAAGGATGATAAAATCAAAGTGGAAATAAAAAGAAGAATAAATAAAATAAAAAATAAATCATGTGGAAAGAAAAGGCAAATAAAAGTAGAAATATAAAGACAAATAAATTTTAAAAAATCAAAATAAGAATTTTTAAAAAATTAAATTATTTTTTAATTTTTACATTTTTTTTTTAGTATTTTTTACATTTTACATTTTTATTTATTTTTTGTAATGTTGCTTTAAGAGCCAAGGAAATATGCGCAGAAAAATGTGTGCGGTAGGAATGTCGTTGTTCGCATTTCCTTTGCTTTTAAGGCGACATTACAAAAAAAAAAAACAATAAATAAATAAATAAGTAAAAATAAAATAAATAAAAAAGTATGAAATAAATTAAAATAAATTAAAATAATAATAAAAAATAAATTATTATTTTATTTATTTGTCTTTATATTTCCACTTTCATTCACCTTTTCTTTTATGGATTCATTCTTCACTAATATTGCTTTAAATCACCACATTATTTATTTTTTAATTCATTTATTCTTCTTTTTATTTCCACTTCTATTGATTTATTTTTGTAATTTGGCGCTCTCACTGCTCCATAGTTTTGCACAAAACAAAGAGTGAATTATTTCTGACTTTAGTATCAGATCTCTGACCCGTCACCAAAGTTTAAAAGCTGTTTTTGAGCCACTTCTAAAACTCGAGACAAAACGTCGCCTCGTCTTTCTTCATCTTTATGTTGGCCTCCAAATAAACTCGACATAAATTCGATACGTTGTCAAAACATGAGTCTTTGGGTCCAATTTTTAGGGCGTGAAACATGGAACTGAAGAGTTTTTAACTTTCCTGATTAGCGGTTTGTCGTGACAACGCTTGACTCAGCACCGGCTGTCGCTCTGCTACATGCGCTGCAGGCGGAGCTGTGCAGCGTTTTGAATCCAACGTTTTATTCGCTCTACTGTGATGCAGCGTTTATCAGCAACGTGTTCTGTAAAAACACAGACGACATGACGCAGTGGAAAATATCAGCCGGTAATAAAATCTATCGGATGTATCAGTAAAATACTGGATTCATTAGTTATGAAGGAACCAGCAGCTGGACACCAAAAACAGTTCTTTATCCTCTACAGCTGTGTCAGGCTTTACACCGACTTCCTTCAGACTGTCTCTTATTAAACCAGTTAGTTCAGAAGCAACACGGGAACACTGGTAGCACCATGAAGAGATGTTAGAGATGTATGTGGAGATCTACTGATGTGGAGCAGGTAGTGTTTCTGAACAGGTCCTAACAGTTAAAACCTGAGATGTACAGACGTGTAGCAGGTTGACGTTAGTGAGTTAAACGTCGCCCTGCTTGTGTGTTTAGACGCTACTTTAGATGTTTTTGTGTTTCCGATGAAATGAGTGAAACGAATGCCGGCTGTGTGTTCCAGGTGTCGGCCTCTTCTCGCTGGTGTTCGGCCTCGTCTGCGCCCAGTGCTGCTGCCGCAACACGACGCACACCCCGCGCTCGCGCAACAAGCTGATGGACCTGGAGATGGACTGACAAACAGTCTCCCCGGCGCCGACGCACTGCAGCGCTCACCGGAAGCACCACACGCTCAACCGCCACGCGCCCGCCGACGACTTCTGGGACAGCCAGCTGTTTCCGGGCGACGGGCGCTGGGAGTGACGGCTTTACACGGTGCTCGGGGAGTCCTGCGGTGGAGGAGCGGGGGGACGTCTACGCTCGCCTTTCAGACTTGTTTCTAAAAAAATCTGTGGTGGATTTTATGCATTTGTTCCCCGATTAAGCCTGCTGAGGCGTCACTGCCACCCGGGAATAAAGGACCGCTGAGCAGATGTGCCGCCTCTGCAGCCGCTGGGGACGACTGGCGAAGGCCGGACTGCTCTTTGTTTTTACTTTTCACGGCAAGGCTCGCCACTTGTGAGCGACGACACACCAGCGAACCTGCTCGACTGTCTTTGCTTTGTTGAGGAGATGCGGCGCAGGAGCCTCGCGTCGACTGGACGTTGGGTTGGCGACGCCTTCGACGCTGGAACATCTGCTCAGTGACTGACGGGGGCTCAGATGTCCCGCCGCCCAAAACAGAAGTGCTCCGAGGTATTGCACTACCACCCCAGAGTATTCCTGCCCTAGCCAGAGGACGATATTTACCTTTATTCTCAACTCTAGTTTTTTGAAAATTGAGAGATTTTAAACCGAGAGACCTTTTTAAGCTTTACGAGGAGATATGCAGTTAGTGTGTCTGTGTGTGAGATATCCTGTACATGGTGCCAACATCTGGACTGACGCCACATCAACACTTGAACAGCCACGGCGGCGGCGGCGGCGGCGGCAAGCGCTCCTCCTCCCCCCCGAACATTCAGAAAACGTATCCAGCTGTTCTTTTTGCCCGAGTCTCGTGTGTGTTTTGGTGTGAGTGCTGTGCCACAAAGAGCTGCATGTACTGTTTTCTGTCGCCGCGGTATGATGTCACCGTCGAGCAACGCCAGTCCGATCCCAGGGTCACGTTTCCGTCAGAGCCCCCTCAGCATCCACGTCTGAGAGCTTCGCTGTCACTTCACTGATGTGCTAACCGGGTGATGCAAGGAGCTTCACGGCGGCAAAGTTTAGAGGGAAACTGTGCAGCTTTGGGTTTTTTAAAGGAGCAGTTCAACAGTTTGGGAAGCTGAGCAGTGGAGCTGCAGCCTGACAAACGATAAATCAACACAGGATTGGCAGCACATTTAGTCATTTAGTTGTTATAGACTGAAAGATTTTTGACAGGGAGCCGAACGTTAACACTCGAAGCCGACGGTTGAACAAGTTGAACCTCGTCGACTCCGTTCGATCGTTTCAGGGCAAAAATTGTGACTAAAAATCTGCTCCGACGGGGAACGACGTCTGTTTGCTCAGCTGGTTGTAACACGACCGTGACGGCGCCGTTTGACTCCGCCTCCTCTGCTCTGCTGCATGTGCTGCAGACAGCGTTTCCAAATCACGCCCAGTAGTTTCTGTTCTGTTAATAACACGTTCCTATAGAGGCACATCTGCGATTGGCCAACGCTGACCGATGCGATGTGGAGCTTCTCCTCCTCCTGGAAGTAACACCAGCAAACGAGTGTTTAGTCGTTGTGAGAGCGTTTCAGCCAGAGAACAGCTCCGCTAACCGCCAAGACTAGCGGCGGGAGAACTGCTAGCCGAGCTCGTCTGCAGCTCTCAGCTTTAAGCCATCAGTCCTTCCAGCAGCGCCAGTGTCTTACAGCATCTCCTCCCATTTCACAGCACAAACGAGGCTCTTTGACCTCGCTGGAAGGCTTCATCTCAGGCTAGCAGTTCCCCTCCGTTTCCAGTCTTTGTGCTAAGCTAAGCTAAGCTAAGCTCCATCCCGCGGCCATCGCAGTCCTCACACTGTTCCTTTATGCTGCTAGAACAAATAACTTCCCAACAGCGAATGCGTCCTTTCCCCTGATCCTGATGTTTTGTCTCTTTTTCAGAACGGTTGTAGAAAACTTGCACTTAATAGATAAATCTGAAAAAAAAGAATCTGTTGAGAGGAAGTCGGTCGACTCCGATCAGCCGCTGGTGTGCTTTCAGAGCAGATGAATGAACTCGGGTCGGGTCGCTGTGTGAACGCACACTCGCAGCTCCGCGGTCCAAACCCAGCAGGGTGCACTCGGACCTGTCGTCGTGTCGGGTTTCCTCCCCGACGGGGCTTTTAAGTCGCTTTTAAAGGGAATTTTACGAGCAATATCAGGCTGTCGCCGGGTCGCAGCTCCCAGGAAGCTGTGTCCACGTCACTCACCCTCAATCAGAGCTGAAACACTCGGACCCGGACCCTCATCGACCCGACCAGGTGAAGCACTGAGCCCGGCGCGGGTGTTTCGGCTGGATTGACGGTGACTGTTATTCCAGAAGCTTCCGGTCTTTCTCCTCAGACCCTCCACAGGTGTTTGTGCCTCTCTGTGATCGCGGTGTTCGGGTTTGGTTCTGGAGCGCGCAGCTCCGGGCGAAGAGTCTCCAGCGACGACGACGACGTAGCACCGGCGCGCGTCGCTGCGAGGCTTTTCCCGCTCTCTTTTTATTTCCTCATTTGATTGCAATTAGTATGATGAATCCTGATGATGTGTTTTTTAAATAAATAGATTTGTAAGATGTATTCATTTTAACTGAGTTCACATGCTCTCCTTTGTTGTGTTTGGGTTTGTTTTTTCCCTCATCAGCCACCACCAGACGTTATGCTAAGCTAGGCTAACAGACATGACATCAGCGCCGATCGCCTCTTGCTGCTCTGAGTCGAGTTGGTTCAGCGTTTCCTGTTTAACCCTCTGAGCTCCACGCAGCGGTTTCCTGCTCGTGTCCATGATGAAGGAGAGAAAAGTCAGAAATGAGTTTAGCTTTGATGCCACAAGTCATTAGAAGCTGAGTTTCGTGGGTAACACGTCTCATGATGGGATGAAAAAGAAACCCGACAAGTGTTGGATGAATCAGACGAATATCTACAGACACAGAAGTGCAGTTTGAACTAGTTAAATTCTGTCCATTCTCAACAAAAACAAACATTATTTGCGTTTTCCCGGTTCGAGGTTCTGCTGCTTCACCCACGGCAGCATGTCGGTGTTTGTCCTCGTCCGAGCAGACCAGCAGGCGTTTACCTCCGACCGGGCCGGCCCACGTTCGCCCTCCTCCCGCCGAAGACGAGCCTCCTAATTTCCTGCAGAAGATCCGACGCGATCGGAGCTCCTCGCGACAAATGTGGGCCAATTTGGTTTTTCTTCTCCGTCTCTGGGCAAGCCATCAATCAGGCTTCGCTCTGCTCCCAAACACACGAAAAAAACAACTTCAAAAACCTCCAGCAGAATGAATGTTTTATCATTCGGGCCGCGGCTATATCTCTTCCTCGCTGCGTCTCCCGTCCTCTTGTTAGTCTTGTGGGGTTCATCTGGGTTTTTTTGTCTTTCTTTCGCTGCATCGTTTGTCCCATTTCTCTACATTTTCGCCCTCTTCCCCCGTCGCCACCGCCACGTCTCTGGCTGCTGATTAGAAATGCAGATGACTTGAAACCTCGGCGGCTCTCTTGGGTTTAGATTTTTACACCTCCTTAGCAGCACCGTCTCCTCCACAGAAGATGGAGATGAGAGAGGAGAAGGATCCAGTGTTGATTGGCTCTCGCTGGCTCCTCTAACATGCACTTGTTCCCTCTCCGGGTCCGTTTGACCCATTTTTCCGGCCCTGTCTGTGCCGCTCATGGATCATTTGGTAATGTGGCCTTGTCACAACTTAAACCGTTGTCTTCCTTAATTGACTCGGTGGTGTGTGTGATTTTATTTTTTATTTTTTTGCTTCTCGTTCACCGCTGCTCGCTCCTGCTGTTTCGGAGATGGCACATTTCACGGTGTTACCCTCGGCTCCGACTCGAACGTGTCACAGCTTGAGGGTTGCTCCACATAACAAAAAAAAAAAATTCAGACGGAAAAATTTAGCAGCGCACGGAGGGAAGTAAGCAGCCTGTTCTCCCCGGAGTCCACCGGCGGCGACACGTTTTTTCGTCTTCCTTGTAATCGACGCCGGTGTCGTACAGCCGCTCGGCTCCGTGGCGCCGGTCCACTTCCTGTCAGCGCCCTCGTTCTCCACCGTTTGCGCAGATTGCTTTATTACACTGATTTTAATTCTGATTTTATGTCCTCATACAATCAGAGTTGGTGGCTTCCTGCTGCGTCGATGCTCAAACAATCCTTCAGATGGCAGAACTTGAGGAGGAATCGTTAACGAGGTGCTGATTGTGTCCCACGGTTCCTAAAATCACCCAAAATCACAGCCGAGTAAGGCAGCGCTGAGCCGACCGAGTGCATGTCGAGCTCCTGAACCTGGTGTTAACGTGGCTTCAGACAGGACAAGAAAAGGCTTCTGGGAACAACACAGCTGCTGATGTCGTCCAAAGCAGGAGAACAACCCAAAGCATCCCAGTTTGAACCCCAAACTAAAGGTTGAGGAAAACCCTGAGTTGTGTGTGAGGAAAGTTCTTGTAGGGAACCAATGGCTCAGGACAAGTTGTGGTTTCTTCATCCACTGCTTGTTTAGAGGAGGTTCTGGCTCGTCCACACCTTTATAGTTCATCGTTGTAACAGCAGCTGTCGATGTAAGTGCTTTGGTTTGTACGGGCTTTCCAGTTCTACGTTCTCCAGATGACTCGTCTTCTGTCCGGCACCAGAATAATCTGTAAGTAACTTCTGCATCCTGGAACAGTTGGCTTTGTGTTCGATGTGACGACCACAAGTACGTCCACCGATGCAGGTCATTTCAGGAACATCTCCGGTTCCTCCTGGTGGATCCCAGGCCGGATGATAGATATATATAATCCCTCCAGCAAGTTCTGGGCCTGAAAAAACGCCATAGGAAGTCGTCCAGGAGGCATCCCGATAGGATGCCGAACCACCTCAGCTGGCTCCATTCGATGTAGAGCAGCAGCGACTCTGGTTCGTTGCATCTCCGCGGCTGAGCCCAGACCTGGTCGCTACCTGCAGCTCACGGCCAAAGGTTCAAACACCGATCAGCCGGTGAGCTGTTGATGCTTCGTCCATCGTTCGTGGACTCCAGCAGTTTCTTGGCTGAGAATCCTGGACTCAGGTGGCTGCAAACCTCCCTTCATCACGTCATGAAGGTCTGAGGAAGCAACTGAACCACGGCGCTGAGGTTCCAAAGGTTCTTCATGCAGTTTCTTCACAATCAAGGAAAGCGAAAAAAAAAACTGTTGAAATAATCAAAGACTACTTGTAGCCAGACTGGGAGTGTGGCCGAGCTGGGAACAGCCGTGAAGTCTGTTCTCCAGATGTTAATCCAGCTGACCGTAGTGGGTTTAAGTGGAACATCTGCAGATTAGCTGCACATGTTCAGAGAGGTAATCCTAATATCTAATGTCTCAGCATCTCCACGGTGGATGGACACCTTTTTTTTTTTTTCCTAAGTTCTAGTCTCTGGGATGTAGGCTCAGTGAAGCGTTGAATTCCAGGAATGGAAACCCGGTTATTTCCTGGAGATTCTTGTTCAATCTGATCCTGTTTCCCGGGAAACCAAAGGATCTGACAGCTATATGAGGGTTTAAAAAAAAAAAAAGAGGCAACTTTAAAGAGGAAGAATAAGCGTCCTGTGAAGTTGTTGACCTTTAGCGGGTCGATTCGCTCCCAGCGGGACTCTGTTCTCCGACCATTTCTCAGACAACAGGTGAAGCCGTTTCCACACAGCGCTGATCTGAACCCATAAACACTCGAAGCGTTTCTGTTCAGCGCCGAGGCTGTGAGAGCTGATTGCAGTCGGAGGCTCGGCGCCGTCAGCCGGAGGTCGAGCTCCCTGTCGGGGTCCGACTTCCAGCTCGGAGACGCTTCACTTCTTCGCTCCTTCTGAACCCCACAGGGGCGACGAGATCTTCCATCCGGGCTCTGATTGGCTCAGCCGCTACCCACAGTTTTCCCACAATGCTCCACAGTAGCTCCGAGTCATGTGGAGCTCCAGCGCAGTCTTCAAGATAACACTGGAGTATTTATACAAGTTAAGACCCCTCAGCTGTGAAGCTTTGCCTTGGATTATTGTGGTTAGCTGAAGAATTTAAACCGAGCGTGTGTGAATGTCTGAAGCTCTCGTCAAAGGCCGCTCTCTCGTCTGGCTTTTATCAACCGATTCCTGGAGAAACTAAACACACAAACAATTAAAATTCATCGCGTGTCATGTTTCTGTTTTGCAGGCCAGGATTGGCAGCGTCTCGTCGGTAGCTCTGGGCCTCCGGAGCCGATTATTAGAACCAGCGCCGGAACAAAACGAATGTGAAAGTAGACGCCAGAAAACAGGAGGGTTGATATTTACTGAGCACATCGCTGCCCTGCAGAGGATGAACCTTCTCCCTTTTGGAAACCCAGTGAGTTTTCTTGCAGCGCCTCCTGGTGGTGAAGTCTGTCAACAAGATGAAACCTTCAGCTCATCACAAGCTGACCGTCAGTTCGACCTGCGGGCATCACCGCGTTATTTCTCAATACGTAGGACGGTTTAAAAGACTTTTATAAATCTGCGAATGCCAGGAAACCGTAACCGAACGTCTGCTGAGACGTTTGTCTTTTCCCAACTTTAACCAAACAGCAAATGAGAACTGCAAAATAAAACTAAACTAAAAGGACACAGATCTCAGGGAAGAATCCCGTCGACCTCCTGACGCTTCAGTAAAGTTAAGCTCGGATATAAAAATCCTACACTGACATGAGGGAACAGTTTGGGAGTAAGGATCAGTTCTCAGAGGACTGATCCACCACGTTCCCTTTGACCTTCAAAAATCTGGATTCATTACCAAGAATTAGGCCTGAATCTGAGACCTGTTCAGATTTTTAGTGGTGCTACGTTAAACATGTAAATTCAGTCTTTTGCACAACAACAACAAAAAAGAAAGAAAATCAGTAAAATTGTTTTTCTGTTTTTCCAAAATGGCAAAATTGTCGACCCAAAATCCAACTTGAGCTTCATTTAGTACGAGTTTCTCCACGTTTTGCTCCCCCTACTGGTCCACATGTGTTACTACAAGGACAAATAATCAAACGAAGGCTGAATGTTCTCAGCCGAGACTGTATATTAATAGCAAGTGGAGTTATTTTTATAAAACAGCAGCTAAATTTGAATTAGCTCCTGCAGCATAAAGCTTAAAGTTCATCTCCCGTCTCAGAGTTTTTTAAACACTGTTTGGGTTTTTCATAAGCAGCCAAAATCCACAGATCTGTTCCTCAAACGTGACGTATTGGTTTGTTGTACCTGCAGCCGCTCACGATGTCGGATGTGAAGGAAACGATGTGCCTGGTTTCGTTTTAACCCGTCACATTTCAGTCCAGGAAGAAGTCCTGCACCTCGATGGAAACCCAGCGCAGAAATGTTTTGTGCAGTTTGACACGTTACAAAGACAGAAGTCATTTAAAAAAGACAATAAAATTTAACTTCTTTGATTATTTATTAAACAATTAAAAAAAAAAAGAACAAAAAGAAAAACAGATGCTGAACTGTGGCTCTGCATGTGTTTATGATAAAACCTACTTTTTAATTTGTTGTCATGCTTGTTTCTGCAACACTGCCTGCAGTTCAGCTGAAAAGAACGTTTTATCACGTTGCTGCTATTTAGAGCTGAGTGATTAAAGGAGCG